AACAGGTCATCGCGTTCTTAGGAGAGTTCACTTCGTGGGAGTGGGTATCGCGCGCAGCGAACGGGCCGGCGTGAGGGGAAGGCACTTCGTGAAGAGCAGGAACTAACGAAGGCACGGGTATGCAGATCTTTGGCGGCCTTCTCCGTGCCGCAGGATGCCGAAGGATTGCTTCCCTCGGTTCGCACGCTGCGTTGCCTCCCGTAGCACGCGCAGCGAAGAAAAGCCTCCTCCCTTTTAACCTTGGCCCCACTAAGGGAGACTTCCCGTCCAAGGTAAGGGGCCAGATGACTGGATCTTAGGAGGCCTTTGTCTCGGTCCGTTGTTTCTCGAAGAGCATAAATTGGGAGGTGAGGAGCTGTATGTGTATAGACGAAGGAAGCACAAGGAAGCGCATATTTACCACTCAACTTGTCCAGTCGCATATGCCTATTCTAAGCACTTAGCGCTTATTCTCAACCTGGGGGACATCGCACCATCTATTTTTAGCTGCTATGTCCTCATTGCGTCTTCATTGACACGATCATGTCGAGAATAGGCGCCACTGCTGGTACGCCAAAACACGCCAAGCACATTCTATTATAGTGCAGTCGGACGTTGGTTTAGTGGATAGAAAGCCTACACGTCGCATCCAGAAGGGACATAGAAATCAGCAATATTGATAATTTAAGAAACGCAACGCATCTTCGAGCTCGTCGCACACGTGTGTGTGCCCAATTTGCTTTTCCCAAGTCGCTTTCTAGCTCTAAAATTGCGCATTTTGACCGATATTTCCTGTGATCACTAGTGTTGAACCACCCATCATCATTACTGGCACCTTCAGCGGCTGTACCTTTTGGCTCTTCGATGGAATCCATGCGACTCGATCTGCAAAATATGCGATATGGACAGCTATAGTAGTCAAGGCGTAAGAAGATTATCAGCGGCACCAAAATTAGCGTCAAGGATGTGATGTGATGTCCAGACAACGACGTAGATATTCGAGCGTACAGTTGCCAAGTGTGAGCTATTGCTAGTGCATTGGCGTAGCAGATTTTTGAAGACACAAGAGGCTTAAACTTGGTCTCTCGTGACTCCTCCTTCTCTCGACACCATAGTTGTTTATATGAATAGTGATAGTGACCGCAGGAGTGCAGTAAAAGGGAGTTAAGCTCATAGCGCAAAACACCACTGTGTCATTTTGCTCTTTGTGATGAATGCGTCCGGAGCACTGTGAGCACCGGCGGGCAACATTCACAATAAAGTAGCGCTCTATCGTAGTCGGTAGTAAAACCATTTTAGATTTGTTGTATACTCTATTGATCACATTGTGTACAATCTGTATTTGACTCGGGTTCGCTAGTGTGGGATGATGTACAAGAGCGACTTCGCGAGACGCGGACAAATAGCTGTTTTTTTGCAGTAGCACATTTTATTTGTTCTGTCCAGGTTTGAAGTTAATTATGAGTCAGTCGTACCTAAACGCATTGCGTCGCTAAATAAGCCGAACTTATGCAATGAGAGTGGTGACATACGTACGGAACGCACCATGTATAACCAGTACCTTTTTTTGGCGGCCAAATTTATTTTACAACAATTGCGCGAGAAATGCCTTTTATAAAGGTCTTGTCACACTGCACACAATCAGCACATCTATTATACGTTGCCAACTTCAACCAATGCACAAATCAGTCAACATTACCAACATGCCGCGCCCTGACAAATGGCTACGGCACTTGCAGGTTATGAGGGCTATGCTGCCCCCGCAGTGTTATTCAAAATCAATGTGATTTCAAAAAGCCAAAAAGGGTTTGTAAGAGAATATTACTGCGACCGGCTATCATATCATTTGCTTATGGCTCCATTGCTATCTGATATTTTATCGAATTAGTGTGGGGAGAATCAAATGCCATGCTCAAAAATGGCCATGAGTACATGATTTTAAAATCCTTTCGTTCGTTTCTCTCTCACTACCATCCGCCGCCATTCTCTAAGTGCTTTGATTACATGGACTTATATCGCAAGATTCTGACTAGGAAGGCCGCCGAATACGCTGTATTGAAAAATTAGTCGCATTATACGGCTTTAATTTAATTTTTACGGATGTGAACGTTTTCGATGCTGCAATCAATCACTGTGCTTTGCAATAGTCCCATTAAACATGTGATGGTTTTTGATGGTTTTTGATGGATTTAGATAATTATATGCGTCGTTTTTAGAAAATAGTCGACATAAACAGGCAAAACAATGCCTAATAGTGTAACGACAGCCATTATTGTACTTGTAAGACTGCAAAAATGGTTCTTATACGCTGATTCGTCAAAGAACCAATAGGGTTTACGTGAAGAGTTTGGAAAAGTCGATAAAAATAAGTCTACGTGGGGAATTTGGGGCGGATAAATGTGGCGCGCCGCGAGCTAAAACCAATAAAATTCTCCGGACTTTAGGCACCTATAACTTCGAGGAAAATCTGTTAAATAAAAATCGAGACAATTGAAACGAAGCTAGTAGCATTCTCTAGTCATCTTTGGTCTTAATTGTGTTGTTAAAGAGGAAAGGGGTGAGGAGTAGCTAGATAGCATTGCGTCGTATATAAGCCGAATCCATGTCATGATTGTGATAACGTACTCATGTTCACTGCAACTTTATTGTAGTGCAAGGCCTTGCTTGCTCGTCGTCAAGAAAAGTAGTCGAAGTCCGCAAGCTTGAATTGTCACCGAAAACGTTGTACTGGAAGGCATATGGGCTTGCATCCGCTTTTATCCGAGCAATTCAAAAGCAACAATTGTGTCACTTTATGCGTTCTTCACTCAAGCGTTAGTTCGATTTCCGCATCACCGATGACTAGTTTCTACATAGCCAGAGTGCTTAAAAGGCATTAGTGATTTATTCAAAGATCTGATATTCATCGACCTTGCGATAAGTTGTCATTCGGCAATGAATTGCGACATAAAGACGTCACAGCAAAAAATATTGTCACTCGATCCCGGGCCATATACCACTTTATTACGGGTGGTATGTGCACAACGTCCACGTCGTGTCGGAATCGATACAGGCTTCTTTGGACAGGTACGACTACTGCGGCGGCAGTTTCCGTAAGCGCTCTTTTTATCCTTTGTAGAAACAGAAGCGAAACTTACGGCCGGAAGGTCAACTAATGTACTCGACTTGGTAAGTTTGAGAGTCACAAACTTTGCAACGTCATCGATTGTCGTCATGCTTTGTCAATCCTATATCCTGTCTGTGTATCATACACTCCTCAACCCGAAGTCTTGGCCTCGCGTTTCGATCCCACCATACTTCCTGCATGTCAGCCATCTGTTGTCGACATAATGAGTGGCACTACCACCAATTTTTCCAATATGTTTCGGCCAAGTCCAAGTCGCCTGAATGCTTTGACATAATGTGAAACGCGCACTTGTGGATCCCGGTCATTGACATCCATGACGGAGAGCCGGTGCAAAAGGTATTATTCCGGGGCAGTTGACGTGTAGTACAAGGCTGCCACATCTGACAGTTGTCGATGAGAAAAACATTGTAGTAGCCGACTTAAAAAACTACGAGTGTAACAACATGTCTTACGTCGGCTCCCCGGATTGGACGGACAAGTCCATCTCCTAGAATTGTCTGCCGCGAATCAGGAGCGTACGTCTCGACACGCGTCCACAGCACGACCACTTTGGTAGATGGAACAAGCTTCCAGCCACCATCAGTGCTTCCTCACTGTTCTCACGCTCCTACGCCCATTGTGAACGCCTCTTCGTCTTCTTGCGTTACAATACATGTCTATCACAAGACCACCATCATCAAACAATTATGGTGTGAGGTGCCGCGAGGAGAGGTAGCAAAAAGTTGTGAGCGATATGAATAGTGCGCTTGGACCGAGTCTACTGCTAAGCCGACAGTGGGCAGCACAGCCATCATCATTTACTACAATCGTCAGCCGACCCAAGTGTAGATCAGCCAGCCCACTGAAGAAGTTGTGGACGTTTGGCTGAGGCGATGCGTGCCGATGTGACCAAATGGAAGGTTGGCACTACAAGGTCAGCGGCAAAGATAAACGGAATGTGGGCCGACATTCATAACGCATGCCACTACGAAGCAAGCGGTCCGAGACGTCACTTGACTTGACTGGAGCGACGAAAGGCAAGCGCAATGAATACACGAGTTGGCTCAGGACTGCAGCATTCGGGTAGATCCTGCGTTAAGAAACGGCCTGTGCGGAATGGGCGGGGGCAATAAGCTGCAGCCTTTCAGAGCGTTGAAACTGCTGAGACATTTAGATACCTTTTTAAACGGTATGAAAGCTGACGTTTGGTCATGGCAGGATAACTGCCCGCACAGGATATGACTACAACGACTCTCTCACCTCGACACACGCAATAATCTACACAGGTGACGAGACACGCGCATTTCAATACTGCTGGGCATCGGCTACATACACAAAGACGTCACGAACACATTCGATCAGACACACTCACTCGTCCGGTGCTTAGCCCCATCTTCCACTTGGATCTGCCATTCACACAAAACAGCGCATAGCGCGTCCTTATTGTAGCGGGCGAAGCCTCGGGATGAAGATCAAGGTGCTGTACTTTGCGTCGGCGCGGGAGGACGTCGGTCTGCGCGAGGAGAGTGTCCAGCTGCCGGACGAGAGCAACACTACGCTCGCGTCACTGCGCCGTCTGCTGGTTGACAAGTACCCGCACGTTGCGTCCAGCATCGACCGCATCACTTTCGCACTCATCTCGAGTACTCTGACGACGACGTAGCGCTGACGGACGGAGACGAAGTGGCACCGATTCCTCCTATTAGTGGCGGGTAACGCTGACTGGATCTGACCAACAACGGAGACAGAGACATAACGGGGCACGAGAGCGAAAGAGACACGAGGAGCCATTAGCCGTAGAGGTATGCAGATAATCGGCCTAATCCATACCTTGTGCGACTTGTTTGTCCCACCTGTGCAACCAAACGACACCCACGAGGCTGTCTGCAACCACAGAGTCGGCAAACTATCTGCTTTACAAGTGCCGGACGCCCATCGTATGCTCGAAAATGTGCTCGAGGTCTCGATGGACGCTACTGGACGGCGGCGCGACCAGCAGCTTCTGGAGCGACGTCCTGGCACGCAGCCACCGCAGTCCCTTGTACAGCACTGCGAGTGTCGCCATGCTCAGAATGAACTGGAAGATACGCACTCGTCGACGTCGGCGACTTTTCTCCTCCTCTTCCGTCACGGGCGGCTCGCCATGTCGCGGGTGACCGGGTGGAAACACTGGCCGTGGAGCCAGCAGGGCAGCCACACCCGCGCACATGGCGCCAATGCGTTCCAGAAAGTGCACAGAACTCCCTGCAGCAGACGCAGTGGTGACATGATGTCGAAGTCGGCACAACAGCAGCGTCCCGGTCTCGGTGTGAAGGAACTACAGTACAGCTGAGCGCTTTTGCCCCGCACCGATACAAAAGTTGAGCGCCTCTGCGTTCATCCCCAGCAGTTCCGATATCTGACCGACAGAGCTCACGATCTGGTGGAAGCTCGAGAGCCAGCCCAATCCACCATCTCTTCCTCCTCCGTTCATCGGGTCCATGTGACTGCCGCCAAGGGAACCGCCGTACCCCATTCGGGACATGCCGCCGTACCCTCCATAACCGCCGCCTCCGAGCAGACCACTGCTGCCGTACGAGAGCGGGCCTCCAGTGTAACCCCCCGCGTACCCCTGCATGCCTCCGCCGTACCCCGCGTTGCCATACCCCGTCCCATACATCGAGCCCAGTCCCGTTCCGTACCCCGTCGGTGCGTACCCTAACGCGCCTCCATAGGGAGACGTGGGCCCAAGCGCTGAGGCTGCAGGCAGTCCGAACGGCGCAGCAGGAGACGACACGGACACAGACGCGGCAGCACCTGCAGACGGGACGGACTGGACGGTCTCCGACGTCAGCAACTCGTCGTCGTCGTCTGCAGTGGCAGTAGCGAGCAGTACGTTGTGGGCACAGGAGCGACGAGCAGACGACAAGAGAGACGAGCAGTCAGTCAGTCAGTCAGTCACGCCGCGACGCACCGCCAGTCTGCTGTGTTCTTCTCAGCAGGTTCTCCCAGGGCTTGACGGGCAGGAGAGCAGGGGGGTACGGGGTACACTGCGACGCGTTCTACTGCGTAATCACGTCACGAGGAGGATGGAGGCGAACGATGGGGACAGAAAAGAGCGACAGAGAATACGACATTAGTGACGACAGTGGACGCCCAGCGACTGCAGTGGGTGCGGGCAACAACACACACCTACGTTTTTGTTTTAAACACTTTTGTAACTCACTTCCCAATTTGCGCCTTCGAGCAACAACGGCCAAGCGATAAAGGCCTCCACAGAGCCGGACAACCGGCCCCTTTCCTGGGTGGGAAGTCCCCTATGATGGGGCCCAGGGTAAAAGCGGGAGGCCTACTAGCCGCTGCGTGCGCCACGGGAGGCAGCGCAGCGTGCGAACCGCAAGGGGAGCAACAATCTAGAGACCCCGGGGTGAGGGCGCGTCGCCAGCGGTTGTCAACCTCTCACTTAGTTTCTGCTATTCTACGTCAGCTTCCAAGTCGCCGGTCCGGTCGCCGAGCGCGACTCTCGGTCTCACGAAGCGAACTTGCCTTGAACGTGATTCTGATCGGGACCATCCAGGAGCACCAGCGGCCTATCGTGGGTGATCAACTTGGTACCCGACGTTTTCTGCGATGATTATGCGCCCTGTCTGCCCCCAGGACTGGATACCTGTTTCCACGTGCCCTCGGCTGAATGTCCCCCGTGATGCCCGACGTCTCGAGCCAGCAGACTTGGCCAGCGAGGAGGAGATTGATGTAGTCTAGGTAGAAGCACACCGATATAGTGTAGTTTTCAAACACTTAATCGACGTTCAGGTTTCTCTCTCACGCTTTTGTAGCTCAACGTGTGTTGCGCTGAACTTTTTCGTATCAATTGTGAGCGCGAAAGGTCATGTACGTCACGTGACCGAGGACTGTATACCAGTCAGACAGTCGTTGTTCGGTAAAAATTCGTCAGGCCGCGAGGTGTCCTCAGCTAGACTTAACTGTCGCGCCCAAAGAGTGTTTTAGGGTTTGTATGGCACACTCGACCAAGAGAAGCAAATTGCGGTGACTTCATGCACGTAAGCATGAGTAATACCTGCCCGGAAGCGATAAACGACGAGAAGAAAACTGTACAACTCAAACGTGTGCAAATCGAGGACACCTCGACACTTGTCGAACGAATCGTTGTACCATGTACCAGTCACCGCGAGTGTGTCAAATCTTCAAATTCTTGCGAAGAGCTATAAGGTAGTGCACATGCTGCAACGATTACAGGCTGTACCGAATACTCGACGAGTCTCATGCTGTCATTCGACAATCACGAAAGCGCAGACGCATTGCACATATGAGCCGAATAATGGCGTGGTCCATATCCTTGACTTCCGTTTTGTATTCGAACCACGGGGCCACCTTGTCACGACGTGTACCTCTATCGTTTATCATGCCATCGAACCTTGTGCGTTTAATGCTACACGTTGCGTTGATTGCGTACAAGACAACAAATAAGGTCTCTTTTTCACACAACAGACATAGACCGACTCGACCACATATGCCGCTTTTGTCGATTGAAACGCTCCTTGTCACCAGATGACGCCGCCGCCGCTGCCCTCGCATTGGGTGGTGCGCGTCACTCGGTCCAAGGAAAGGTCTATGACGACCACAAACCCACGCCCACGACGCAATGGGTTCGTCCTACACCTGCATCGACCCAGAGCTCTTGTGAGCACCTTATGCGACGAACCCATCGATCGCACCAGACGGTTCCAGCAACGCACGTTCTGGACACTATCGTTCAGGCGTCTATGCGCGTTGGGGGCAGTTCTTTGAGCCCAATCATCAGCAGCAAACAGAACCGCAACCCACTCGTGTTCACGCCGTGGCCGCATTAAGTAAGAATCGGTACTTGCGTCAAAACGGAGTGTTTGGTGTATTCCGAGCT